AAAAAAACACTATGAAGAGAACAATTTAACTCCAAAGAATATTTACAAAGCCATAAAAGTATGAAATGTATAGAGACATAATAATTAAAAAAATGACATTACAAGTTATATCAAGCCTGCGCTATATCATCATTTTCAGAAAGTCATTAGTCTAATGTATTTTTACCTGTGTTAAAATTTGCCTTGCAGAGCAAGGCAAATTTGTTTATATAGCATAATTCATACACAAGGCAATTCAAAGTGCTTTGCAATTCCACAAAATTACAAGAAACAGATTAAATAATAATAAAAAAGATATATAATAATATAAAAATGATATTACAAGATATATCCCATCAATCCATCCATCCATTTTCCAACCCGCTTAATCCCTCATGGGGTTGCTGGTGCCTATCTCTAGCGTTCATTACAAGTTATATATTTGTTTTATTCATTTATTATTTAATCATGAATAGCATTAATTATGCTATATAAACAAATTTGCCTTTCTCTGCCTGTAACATAACCGAGGTAAAAATACATTAAATTAATGACTTTCTGATCATGGTGATATAGCTCAAGCTTGATTGAATATAAGTACCCTTTTGTGTTAAGTGTGAAGTAAATACAGAATGATATACATATACAGTAAGTTACAGACTTACTATGTTATTATTTTCCTTAGCTGATTCCGCAAGAGCTGAGGAGATCACCAGGAGTCTGGCAGGCATGATAGCAAAGGACCTGCAACCTCTCTCCATTGTTGAAGATAAGGGCTTTCAGGATTTTGTGAAGACTCTTGATTCGAGGTATAACATTCCAAGCCGGAAATCTTTAATAGAGAGGAAACTGCCGGCTCTTTATGAAGACTGCTCTTCCAGGGTTAGAAAAGCATTAGGTGAAGTGGATAATGTTGTACTGACTACTGACATGTGGACATCCAGAGCCACAGAGGGTTATTTAACAGTCACATCCCACATTATAAACGAGCACTGGCAAATGGAAGCGTATGTACTTGAAACAAGTTCTTTCCCCGGACAACACACAGCTGAGAATATTTGTTCCCAACTCACAAGAATTGTGGAAGAATGGGGCATAAAGGACAAGATTGTGGCAGTAGTCACAGACAATGGGGCCAACATGGTTGCTGCTGTGCGCAAGGCAGGTTGGGCACATTATCCATGTTTTGCTCACACCTTGAACTTGGTGGTAAAAGACTCATTCAAAGCTGTCCCGGGATTACTTGAGATCCAAAAGAAATCCAGTGCAATCGTTTCCTTCTTTCATCATAGCACCACCGCTGCATCCAAGCTCAAGGAAATTCAAAAGCAGCAGAAATTTCCTGAGAAAAAACTGCTTCAGTCAGTTGAGACCAGATGGAACTCTTTATTTTACATGTGGGAGAGGCTGTCTGAGCAAAAAGATGCAGTTACCACGGTTCTCTGCCTACTTGGCAAAACATCTCTTTGCTTGAGTCAGGAAGAATGGTCTGAAATCAGTCTCTCTCTTAATGCACTAAGACCATTTGAGGAGGTAACTAAAGAAATATCTGCTGAAAAACATG